TTTGACCAAAATAATGACGACGCGGAGCATCGTCCATGAGCCGCGAAGCGGCGAGCCGATTTTTTTGTGGGTGTTTATTTGAACCCCGTAAGTGATGTTTCCCTGGCATCTATTAACACAATGGAGACCATAAAAAGCAGTGCATGATAACGTCTTTTTAAATCAAGTAACAGTTAAATAAAATAATGACGATGCGGAGCATCGTCCACGAGCCGCGAAGCGGCGAGCCGATTTTTTGGGGGGTGTTTATTTGAACCCCGTAAGTGATGTTTTCCTGGCATCTATTAACACAATGGAGACCATAAAAAGCAGTGCAGGATAACGTCTTTTTAAATCAAGTAACAGTTAAATACACAGTTATATCCAGAGTTATCATGTGTTTGGTTAAGTTACCAGATGAGTTGAATATCTTCTCACAATATTTGCACTTGAAAGGGTTTCTCTCCAGCGTGCGTTCTTTTTTCTTTCTTTTTTTCTTTTTTTTCTCTTTTTTTTCCTTTTTTTTTTTTTTTTTTTTTTTTTTGGGCCGCCCAAGGGGGGGGTTTAAACCCCCTAAACCCCCCCCGTAGATCCGCGCCTGCCCCCCCCCCCCCTGCGTACGCGCCTGACCCTACTAGTAGGCGTATTCCTAGATTTTCAGAAAGCTTGTGATACGATAGACCACACAATACCGGTGTTTTTAATAGATTAAGACAATTTGTACCCAGAAATATTTAATTGTTATCGTATAAAACATTAATATATAATATATTATATTTTTATTTTTATGGATAATGCGTTATACCACCATTCAATTTTGGTTTGCTCTCTTTTAAAATCTACTTTCAAAATCATTCTTTACATGATTTCAAGCTAACTTCTTAATTGTTCTGAACAATACGTTCATGTCAGTTGATGTGGGATTATTGGTCCTGTGAAGTCCATGTACCTTATAATTATATTTAAATGCAGATGTTCTTGAATGTTATTTTCTTGTATTTATGTATTTAAAGTGCCAATTTTTACAGTTTTATTGTAAAAGGTATATATTATACTGTGAACCATTTTTATGCCTGTCTTTTTATTGTGTGAAATCCACATCACGGTTGCAATAAATAGATAAATGAATTAAATTAGATTATATATATATATATATATAACATATTTTTAGACATTGTATGATACATTATTGTAGTATTTTATCAGGAATGCCTATTTATACAAGTTTAGGCTTTGTATTCAAACACACAAACATGTATTAACTTAGATAGTTAGGTAGTATACCTGTATTCAATAATTATTCATATATATTTTTATTTGTTAAGGTACCAGACATGATTAGCATTTTATGCTGTTTACTGGTCAAGTTTATCCATTCAATATATTTGTTAAGGGTCTCGGACAATTACCCCGTGGACAATTACTCCCCCCCCCCGCAAGATTACCCGAGGAGCGTACCACCTCTGCCAAAATAATTCCTTTTATTAAAACTAACTTAATATCAGAGTAGACTTCCCTTTAATGAACAGAGGAGAGGGGGCATAATTGTCCTAGGGGGCAATTTACCTCGTGTGGTAATTGTCCACAGGTGGTGGGGGGGTAATTGTCCTTGGGGGAAATTTTCCGGGGTGTAATTGTCCTCGAGGGGTAGCAGTCCTTGGAGGTAAATTTTCCGGGGGATTGTTGTCCTGGGGGTAGTTTTCTGGGAATAATTTTCCGGGGGTGATTGTCCAGGGGGTTATTGTCCCGATCAGGCCCGGTTATATGAATTGTACGTTTGTACGGGTGTGATTTAAAGTACGCCATCTAGGTGTCGTGGGTTATAGTGGTTCATTCCCTTGATTCTCAATCCAAGGGAAGATGCTATCAAATGCCTTGTAGCAATACATTAATACACATTTGCCACTCTCTAGCCGGGTGTATATAGTGGGTATCTGGCTAGTGCTGGGGTATTAATTATTTGAGGGTCTGCAGGACGAGCAATATCAATACCGATGTGGCTATCCTAGGTTAATAAGATCCAATTATTATTATTTCTTTCGTACATAATTAGTGACTTGGTACAGTTTTAACATGCATATAGGCCCTATCATGTAGAATTTAATATATGTATATATATTGTTTAATTTGTTTGTTTTTGTTGGGTTTTTTTTAAATTTGTTTTTTTTAATAATTTTTTTCTTCTTCAATGAATAAAAAAATAAAAAAACATACTGCTAAAAATGATCTATTTCTTATTTTTTATTTTTTAAATAAAAATACACCGGCGGGCATTTGAAAAATAGCCCGACTGTCAGGAAAAATGTACCGAGAGGCCATTTTGAGAGGCCATTTTGAAGAAGAAAAAAAGGGCCTCCTCCTTCCTATTTTTCAAAAAGGCAGGACGCTAAACATGTTTTTTGTTTTTATTTGGCCTTATGTCGAAGTCCATTTGAGTTTTTTAAAAGGGTAAATATCCATTTCAGTGCTCGCATAAGAACTTTTTTTTTGTCAAGGCTCTCCCCCCGGGCCCCCCCCCCAACAAATGAAATGAAATAAACATGACGAATTCATGGCGATTGTGTAATGCAGGATCTGAATCGTTATTGTCTAAGAAATGCTTTTCGTTAGGTAACGAAAAAATAAATAAAAATCTATCGACGCTTGAATGTCCTAAGCCGACATTTCCTTGATATCGCAAAAACGCGTAGTAAAGGATTTAATTTATCCAAGAAAGACATCTAAAATGAAAAACCAAGCGGATGTAGATCTCAGATCCTTGATGAAGATAATCGTAAATACAATCTCTCCCCCGACCTCCGATGGAACAAGAAACCAATTTTTGATTCTGCGTTGCCTTGAGACAAGACAGCTAGAGATGCATGGGACGCATAAAATGAAGTGCAGTGTGAGTAATGTGAAAACTCAACTGACAAATCAAATGAAACAATCCATCACAATGAAACACAGTTCACTCGATGTACTAAAGTAAAAATTTTACCTTGTTTGCAACGTTTTCTATTCTGAGGTGATTTATTCACCGGCAGTGGGTCATAAGTTGCACAGCTTTCTAGTTGAGCACAATGTTAGACTATAAACCTAAGACATTGTGGTCATCAATAGGAAAGACATATTTACAAAAGCGTAGGGTCAGGTAAAAGAAAGGCCAGTGAGAAAATATAGTTAATTTTTTTAAAGTTTCTCTTTTCTGTCTCATTCATTTCTTTCTATCTTTCGACTAAAAGGTGGAGGAAATGGACGCCCTTTAGTTATACGCCACCGCCTCCATCCAAATCTCGGAGAACGTTTTTTTTTTTACTGGAATCTGGAGATGTTGTAATATCTAAAACCCCCAACGATATGTATATATATATATATATATATATATATATATACATGTACATATGATTTTATAGATAATTAAACAAATATGAAATGAAGACAATAAGGTAATTAAAAACAAAAGTATCATTTTTTACAAATGTACTACAGCGTATGATGCTTCCGTTTGAATTGTTGAACTTGTCCAATCAATGTGAAGATGCAATTGTTTCTTCCGTCCTCTCAGAGTTCAGCTTCTATACAAATGACAGTAGAGAGAGTAAGTTTTTACCAAGCCTAAGGGTGGATGCAAGATAGACTACGAATGAGTAGGGGGAGGGGGTAGATAAATACCACACCTCCCCCTAAACAAATAATAAGAATAAGAATAATTGAACATATTGTACTTTTTTCCAAAGGTAGTATTGAGCCCAGGATATAATTAAACGAGGTAATCCAGTTTTCGATTCTATTAACAGATTTAAAATATTGTTTCTGAAATGCCTTTTGCCTAAGATATTCATATTCTTTTAATTCGATCAATGGACAAGTAGTCAGTAATCCTCATAATTGAGATCTACGTGAAAAATGAGATACAATCTTACGGTTTTCATGAATTTAATGGCCTTTTATGCAGAAGAAAAACTATATGAGCTCCTGTGAATAATGTAGATTTAGAGCTTGTTATTTCGGGCGAAAGATGCATGCGTGGTTTAATAAGTTGAGAATCTGTTCAAATTATTGATCCGACACACATACATACACACATACACACAATTTGTTGTTGTTGTTGTTATCTTGATAAGTTTTATTGGTCAGAAAACACAATGATTTACAAAATATGCGTTACATCTATTAGCAAAAAAATAATCATATTGTTTTACACTTACAAATCATATTGTTTCACATTACAGTGTAACATAACAAAATATAGCATGATACTTCTACACAAAATCTTTACGACGTTTCAATATTTTAGGCTATAAACGGATACGGGTGCCAATTAAAGTATTACATATTCTTAAGTAGACTTCGCGTGTTTTTATGCTAGCATATCTCTGGGAACTGGAAAAAAAGAAGAAGAAAAAGAGAGAGAAAGAGAGAGAGAGAGAGAGAGAAAAAAAGTACTATTAAAAGCCTTAATACTTTCATGTTTAATATTTTCAAATGTAGAAGTACATAATCAAGATGACATTAAATGTTTTAAGATGTAATAGTGATAAACAACACACTTGACTTTAGGTTTGTCGTTTATTGAGAATCTCCCACGGCTTGATATGGCCTCGTGAAGCACACCCATGCAGACGTAAGAATTATAATCCTATTTTTAACATGGTGGGTGTGTGATGAGCCGCAAGATGAGAATCGATTTGATGGATATTTCAGGAAAAATGAAATGACTTTAGCAGTGCCTTGTTTTGCAGCACTTGTTGTTATCCCATTATCATGCAAGAGTAATTCATCTGAACCGACACGCAACGAGAAAACCATGCTGGATACGTGAAAGGTAAGCTGAGCAACCGTGTAAATATTACGTATATTACAGTTAAAAAGAAATCATGTAAAACGGTGAATATTTCCTCGAGACAATGGTTACTCCCAGTGTGTATGCCTACACAACTAGTGATTTATATTCTAGATTTTTAGGAAGAGGATGCATGTTAGCTCATGAGCCGTGACCGTGCAGTTCGCAGCGGTCTGTGTATCGTCTTTGCATTTTGAGCGTCCAGTGCGGATATTTTGTGAGTAATTTGGCGATCACTGATGCTCGCATATAGTTAGTGAGATGAGTGTGTGTGTATGCTGGTGTGTGTGTGTGAACCATGGGTGTGCTCTCTCTATGACTACCATCTGCACTCGGTGCATACACACATCATGCAAAACTCTTAGCTGTTCGCTCTCGTTCCATCTACCCACATACTATATGCGTTATAATCAATGGATTCGCATGGATATTAGCGCTACTTCACTATCTCCCGTAGACAAACGCCCTTATTCTGTAGGAGAGCTAATCGCTACATCCCACCGTCTCATCACCGGATTCACGGATTAATTTCGCAACTTGCAGGAAATGATGAGGATTATTTTGATATGGGAGGAAAGTGTTAGCTGTAGATGCACTGCTTCACGGCGTAGTTAGCTGTATCATTTTTCTTGGTTTGGTTTTGTGGAGGACCGTGTAGCGAAACATGGGGAATGAGATGAGCGAGGAAGGAGAGGGGATGCCGCAACATCCAACGCCGATACCATACCAGACTGGCAGACAGCTACATGATGGTGTGGATAGTATGATGGGTAGGAGTTTAGAAGGTGCCAGAGGGGTTGGTAGAGGAGGTAGTATTAGTCCTGGGACAGGTGGTGGCACTGGTGTTGGAAGAGGTGGTGCGGTTGGTGGTAGTGGTGGTGGCCGGAGTGGTATGCGTGGGGGAGCTGGTATCAGTGGTGGCCGAGGAAATGGTAGAGGTGGCACAGGTGGTAGTATGGAGACTCGGGGAGGACACGGAAGAGGTACAGGAAGAGGTGGAGGAAGGGGTGAAGCTGGACCAATGGGTGGGCAATCTGGGCGTCGGACCGGTCCAATTGTCAGTGGATCTGCAAGTGTTTCACCACCTCATACCAGCGCAGCAAGTCCGGCGTTTATAATTCCAGGAAGGGGTAGAGGAAGGGGAGATAAAGTATCCACTCAGGGTCCTGACCGCGGAGGGGTTAACACAGGACCCAAACCATCTAGTACTGCTCCTAGGACTAGTGACAGATCCAGGGTTCAGAATAAAGCAGCCCCTCCAATGAACGACCAACCTCCTGAAGCAGATCTAAGCCATTTGACAGAGGAAGAACGAGCTCATATTCTGGCTGTTCTAAACAGGGCTAAGGGTCTACAGGAGAGAGATGAAGAGAGAGTCAGGTAAATATAATCTACCATCCTGTACATACCGAAGAAAACCAGATCATAATCATGGCAAGAAAGAAAACAATGTGGAAACAGTCTTTACCTTATCTCTCTTGTATGTTCGAAGTAGGCCCATATACAATTTGGCGTGCTATTGCAGATTGGAATAGGACTGATGTGGCTTTCACTGATACTCTATGCATAATTTTAAGGAGGGTGCGTCCTGGTATGTACCCCGTTGCACAAAACTTACCATTGATGCCTTTGATGGTAACTTTGCCATCAATGATAACTACCATGTAAACCTTGATTTTGATTGGCTGTTGAGCCCTGTTACCGTGGTAGTTGCCATTGATGGCAAATTTACCCCATCAATGGTAAGTTTTATGCAACGGGACCCTGGTCTTTTTTAAGTGCAAGTGCTTATATACCAGTGTGGGTGAATGATAGCTGAATGACAGCTTATGTTGAGCTCTTGACAGCATGGTATGACCGGATTGTTGATGTGTGTACACAATAATAACGATGTCTTCGAGCTCCGGTATCCACAAGCTCAGGCACTTCTGGTGGTAGGCAGAAATAACCGTCTGGTATGGGCTCTTAAAAAATAAAACTGACATTTGTCAACCAAGTTTCCAATACATCTGTATAGAGGCGGCCAATGGAGCCAGACCTAGTCTCAGCGGAACAACCATCGATCTCAGAGACTGAGCTTTCGCTCAATTATGATTGTTGCTCCAGATAATAACGTGAACTGGCCGTAGTGGTTTTTCTTTTAAACAGTTAACGCATTATCGAATAGTTCAAGAAATAAATTAATTTGTACATGGACTCGTTCTTATTATTTCACACAAATGTTACATGACACATGGTAATATATGAAGAGTGACTAAAGTGATATTTGAGGGTGCTTTATACGTCAACTCATTAAATCATCATTACAGAAGGTAACTCTCTTAAGGAAAAAGCAGGTCGCTCAAACATATTATAATGTAATGTATCAGAAAGGAATTGAGTGAACTTACTCCTCATAAAAATTGACTTATTTTGCAGATTCTAATCATGCTTGGAAATTTCAGCCGTCGTGAGATAACTAGAGATATATAACCTTCGGTCTTCTCTCTAGCACTATTTGTATTCCGTGACTATGGTGATTTTAGGTGTATTGGCAATCGCGTGTTTCATTAATAACTAAAGTTCTACAAATGACTCATAACTGACATCATCTGACATCACTGTCATTCTTTGTACAATGCGGCAAAAACAAGTTCTCTACCGTCAATTTGTTTACAATGCATTTAAACAAGTACTCTACTGGAACGCATCTTCCGTGGAACACCCACAAAAACGTTTGTTAATATCAACACTTTCTTTATCGTTGAGGTTATGTAGCCATTGAATCAACATGGTAAATGTTCAAGAGTGTTCGCTGCTTCTCAAGTAGAACAAATTTGTCTATCAAGAGCATTGACATGATAATGAGTCTGTAGAAGAAGACTAATGATAAACAAGGAGGGAGGTCAAGTACTCAATCTAGACTATTGATTTCTAGGACCATCTGAGCTCCACCATCTGCATGCACCAATGGCAAGACTATGATCGGACAGATACTGTGCCAGTTAAAGGAAAAAATCTACTTCGCTTCTGATACAGTTTCGATGGAGATGTTGTTTGTGTGGTAATGAATTGTTTACACTTTCTCATGAAGCTTAAACAAGACAGCAAGACAGTTAATGCTGGAGAGAAGACGTGCTTTCTGGGGGATTCGCCATGGTTTTTATAATGAGATAACCTTTAAAGTGGCGATGATGCGTGATATCTCAGTGACTATGATTGTCGGTTATCAGGCTGTAGGGCCTACTAAGAATAAATGGAATTAGGGAGGGGGCGATGGGATAATTATCATCCCTACTTGTATGAAAAGTATAGAGTTGACTTCTCAGTCATACATCAAGGGATTTAGACAATCACCCACCAATTAACCTGATAATCTCCATTTTTCCCTAGCAAAAAACTCCACCGAATCCATTAATCTTCCTTCATTCTTTGGTAAAGGAATTGTCTTCGATAAATTCAAAACAAATATTTGTATGTTTTCATAAGCATTTCGTTAAATACATTTTTTGTATAAATACAAAGTTAGGTTTTTGAAAGAAGCCCGACATTTTGTATACATGCAAAATAACGTAATATCAACAGTGTGGTCAATGTAAAAAGTAAGGGCAAAATTAAGAAAACGACTAAATTAAGGGGCGTTGACTAGAGCTATTAAAGACAACAGACATGTTTGGGAGGAAATCAGTTTTATTTGTACCTAGTTGCTACCAGTAAAAGTCATAACGGTAATTCTTAATACACAAAAAATATATCAAGATGTTGTTCTGCTGAAAACGTGTGCCATGAATTTTTTAAAACTTATTCACTCGTCTCCGTACTTTCAAAAAATGTCATTGAATGTGAGAGGACACTTCTTTGTTCAAGGTATGAGTAGTACAGATAGTTGGAACACGACAGCTCAATCGATAATGTCCGGATACGTTCTGTCATAAAACACGCATAGAATTGTTATGACCTGTTTATGATTGAAACAATACATCATTCCCTCTTCATATCATTTTAGGCAACAGTTGCTGTTTTTCAACGTACAACGTCTTAAAATCTGGAGAGGAATTAAACGTTGAAACCAGAGAATGAAATCATGCTCTTGTCTCTTCTTAAATCTCATCTTGATTCGAAACGTTAAAGCCACACTGTCCTACTTGTAGCTACTTGCTCCCTCTATATAGAAAACAATGCCTAATCGGTGACCATTGGTCCCCCATGATCCTATTTTTCTTATGTTAATTGAGAGCTGAGTTGATGAGATAACCACCTATCCAGTGACTTTGCAGGGTAGTCCAATCCTTCCTATAATCTAGTACAGATAAGCTTCAAACCCTTTAGAGTGAGGAGGATGAAATGTTAATGTATGTTTTCTTAACATCCTCAAGTGAGTGTACGCATTTCCCTCATTTTGTGACATATCTATCATCCAAAATCAGTAACAGCATTTCAATACTTAATAGCATCTAGATACAAGTCATGATATTTTCCCGTTAACATTGAGACTATTGGGTTTCTCAAAAGCATATTACACCCTCCTACAAAACATGTCTTATGATTACACCTAAAAATACGCAAAAGCTTTCAGAGGTACTTTCTTAGGGACATAGATAAATTGTTTGAAATATTCAAGAAAGGTGACAAATTAAAAAACAAAAAAGTAATTGCACCATTTTTAAATTAAAAAGGACACTTGATATGATGTTAGACTATTTGGAATAAGTCCTGCGTCTTTTCTTGAAATACTATTACATTTTCACTTTTCTTTTTCTACGAATCTAGCCCAAAGAATCTGTGTGAATATGTATTTGATTCAAACTAAATTATTGTTCATCCCACCTGAAATGAGTCAATTAGTTCAGTCAATATATTCAGTCAATAGTATCATGAATTATTAATGACACCAGTGAAGAAAATATACGTCAAAGATTGGCATGCAGGTGCATTGCATATACTAATATTGATAATAACTGTCACTTTTAAAACGTTTTACCAGTTACAACGTACCCGACCAAAGCACTTACATAGTATTATTACCCCCGTCAGTAGATTCTTTTATGATTCTTCACGTAATTGTTGCATTGTGGATTCTTTATTGGTGCAAAAAGATCTCACAGTCGAGTTTTATCAGTCAGTAAATATGAATGAAATCGCCCCAAATAAATTGTTAGTTTATCCTCTGCAAAGTTCGACTTGAAACTAGTTGCAACTTTCGAGTTATTCTCAATCAAAGTATCAATGTCTATTTATTTTACACTAGTAAAAAAAACATCAGCAAACATCTACCAATACATACTGCTTGGCGTTGAATTGTATACTATTTCACGTTTGGAGTTCGATGCTTACTTGAGACCAACTCTACCCTAAATGTCGGTTATTTTTGATATTTTTTTCTTTATTTTTTTTCTTCCAGTTTTAAAAGCATTATATTAGGGATTTAGATCAATGCAGACGAACAATATTTCCCAACAAGTAAAGAACGCTATGAAGTTATGAAGGATAACATGTAAGGAAATCGAAATCGAAAATGAAAATGAGGCAATGACGCCAAATTTTTATGATCAAGTCGTCAATTTGCCTTCACTATCAGAGAGTAATATTCACTAAACTAAAAATGCATAACTGCTATCATTTGGTATTCAAAATGGCGCTCGTATACAATTTTAGCGCCACATGTCCATACAATATACCAAGTAATAGGCCCAAATCGCCCTATAAATAGACTGTCTCCATTTTATAAACAGTGTAATGTCGATGGCATATCTGCACATTATCAATATACATGTATGCCATTACACCAAGATAGAAATAGATTTATTCTTTATACAATTTTATACGATAATTACAAAAAAGAGGAAATATTAAACATTTATATTGCTATAACTTCACTGTACCCAGCAATATCTTTTGAGTGCAAATAATGCATAGAATTCACGCCACAAGCATGTATTTATCCAATTATAGTTTTCGTGATGTAATAATCTTGTGTATTCCACGACCGCGCTGTCTCATTTCTGATCTTAAGGTGAACATTGTGTGTTTTGGACGAAATCTCAATATATGGTGCATTAAATTTGAAGATCAAAATAATAACTCATTCATTAAACATTGCAGATGAACATTATCATTTTACAACTATTATTGGTTAGTTTAAAAATTGGCTCTCATCATAATGGTCTTGGTATGTAATCATTGCCAAAAAAAAAAAAAAATACCACCGAATACTGCTGGATGCAGGTCGATAGATAATGCAATTATCATTGTAATCATCGTTAGAGCTAAAAAGCATTCTTGATGTTGCAGGTGGTCGTGAGGTTATATTTCACGCCTTCCTCATTCCACTATGTTCCCTCACACAAACACCACGTTTCGAGTAGAGAGATGTATTTATTTTCGTGCTGATTATTTCATAT